TCACTGTTCATCGTTTGTTGCGGCATGACTTTTGCTTTTTTCACACTGTGGTATATTGTTGAACAATAAGAACGAAATTTCGACAGGGTTGTACAAATTGACTCTAACAGGACAATTATGGAAACAGTATTGAAAGCTGTTTTCTGTCTTTTGAAAGAGTAATTGAGAGATATGCTAACGAGGAGGCCCCAGCGTAATTTTGTTGTTCTTTAAATAATAAAAAACTAAAAATTAAAAAAAAAAATTATATAAAACAAAGGAAAAACCAAATTATATTAAAAAAATTAGAAAAAGTTGCTAAACATTTAATGAAATAAAAACCAAAAAAATACTTTTCTTTTTTAAACAATGAAATCAAAAAGCAAATAATGGTTTACTAAGGAAAATAAAACAAATTTCTATGAATAAAACCAAATTAATTTTTTAACATACAATTTAAAAATAAGAAAATAATTAAATTAAAACACAAACAAAATATATGTAAAATAAATTTCTAATTATTAAACTCAATTAAGAAATATAAGTTTTGAAAAATTGAAAAAGAAAAAAAGTTACATAAAAAAATCTGCTGACCGAGGATCCGAGCTTCGGCTATTGTGTCTGTTGCAGCACCACGAGAAAAATAGTATATATATCTCCATTTGGAACATATTCTAGTGCTTTCAGTTAAAAGCTATTGTTTTGTAATACTTTCGTTTAAGAATAAAAAAATCTTTTGAAACCGCGTTGCCTACTGTCTCTGAATTGTCTCAAAAAAGTTCACAATGATTTTTCACATTCTTAGCACAGAAAAAATATGTTTGAGAGTGTGTGTTTTCATATTGAGGTATAGGTAAGGGTGTGTTAGAATTACCCGTAGATGAGTTTTTGCTGAGTGCTAAATTAAAAAAATACACTTATGTATTTCTTCGCGTATAGAACTTAGGTATTATCCAAATATTTACTGCCTGTTTTATGTCATAATCTTTTTTATGAATTGAAGAGCAATCAATTCTTAGATTATTTCTTTGTTCGTTTGCATACATAATATGTATACATACATATTGCCATTTATGTGAATTTGCTAACGAAAAAAATTTAATAAATGTGTGCACTTATAAAGGCATATGTACCTAAATGTCTATACATACATCTCACTTCCAACAAATTATCAATTCTTGATCATAAATTGCACAAGCAATAGACTATTGAGATGAATACAGAAATTTCTCTATGCTAAATTTTAATTGCTTAATTTTCGTGTTAATTCGATACATGCATATATATATATATATATACATATGTATACGTTTATATTTTTGCACTTGAATCTGATATATCACTTTATTAAACAATTGATGAAAAACGAGTTTTTCGGAAAAAAATGGAAATTCAATACAAATGTTTCATAAAAATTTACAATACCGATTATTTTTCACTCGACTGCCATTCACCGATATTTTGATTTGTTTATTTTTTCAATAGCTACAATAAATTTTTGTTTACTATGAATATTGTTGCACTTAATCAAAAATTATTACAATACTTTTATGGGCAGCACATGTTTCGAGTGCACTCGTACTTATACACACACAAAATATTCATTAAAATTTACATACAAGCTTACATACATACATAGGCAGTTGAATGTTTACATTTGCACACCTACATATGTACGTATTCACTGGGGGAAATTAATAAACAAAAATCTTGAATAAATTGGCTCAGAGGCAATAAGCAATTTGCGCACACTAATTTTAATACAAAACATTAAATTGTACAATAAATAGTATGCAAGTTGCATGAAAATGAAAAAAAAAAATTACAAGTAGGTTACGAAAAAAAATTAATTTGTTGTATTTATATGTATACTACACATATGCTTACACACTAAATATTTACATATGTGTTTATTCGAAAAATAAATTTCGTCGTTAATTGTAAGTCGATAATTGCCGTGATTTTCATAATAATTTTTAAAGGCATTTTGGTTTCTGCATAATTTGATAAATTGAATAAAAATGTGTTACACAGATGTTTGAAATTAGTGACATCAAGGACGACTATTTCTCAACTCAAAAAAAATAGATTTTTCAAGAAACGTGGTAAAACATTTCAATTGATTAATTGAAATTAAAATTGGAATTGAAATGTAGAAATAAGCCACTAGTAAAAATATATTTAAAAAAAAAACTTTGTATGAACAGAATTGAAACATCAACACGGGTTTCCCGAATATCTCGAATCTTGCGCTGCCCATCGTAATTTTTTTTTTGTCAAGTTATTCCGAGGAAGAAAAATGTACAAACAAGATTAAACAAACAAAAAAATACAAAACGATTTCTTATTTCTTTGTACCCATCATTTTGAAAACAATATGACTGAATTTGAGCCAAAACATTTAATTACGAAGCCAGACTGTTGCGTTATAAAATGTATACTACACTCTTTCGTATTTATCCAGGCAGATCCTTGCGACTGGCGTAAAGTAATTATACAGGGTGTCCTAGACAACAAGGGGGCCTCCCCCTCCTGAAATGGAGCGAAATATTTTTTATTGAAAACCGCAAACATTTTACCTAAATCAGGATTGCTCTATCTTTTGGTGGTATTACCGGAAGTCATTTTTCCAAAATAGATTTACATGTTTTTGATACAGGGTCGGTTTCTGTGGATAAAAATACGCAACTTTTATTTCATACTTTTTTTCTCTGAAGCCCTTTTTCAACCTCTAAATGGCAAGAGTCCAGGGCAAACTTTGAAGGTCATTTAGAGGATGAAAAGGGCGCTTTCGAGAAAAAGTGTTCAAACAAAAGTTCGTATAAAATTAGGAAACGAATACATCAAATCAGATAGGCGAGTGTTGGCGTTGTTGCAGTCCTCTCTCTTTGCAGAATTAAAATTTTCTGTGTAAATTTTATAATCAAATTTTATACTTTACTAGCTTCCTGTTAAACTGATATCTGAATTCAGATGCTCAGTTTGAAACTCGTCAAATTAAGGGATAAAGAGAAATTACTTAAAATTTTTGGAAAAACGAGCTTAAAAGTCTCATCCGCTACGTTGGAATGCTCCGTATATTTTGAATAAAAAGAAATAACAATGACTGAAATGAGAAACAAAATCCCACAAGTTGGCAACACTGGTAAGACATGGCTATCCAACTTAACCCATTAATTTCCGGAGGCTTAAAAAATAATATGTAAGTAGTTGCATAACGGCATTCAGCGGCCTTTACTTTTCCTACTCTTTAATATCTTTCTTTTTAACAAATTGAAACGACTAATTTTCAATGTAAATTTATTTACCTTAATAGGGAAATAAATTGCATTCTGACCTCTGTATCTACAGAAAAAAGTGTAATTTTCGGTTTATAAAGACCTTTTGTCATTATGTAAATATTTGTAAGTAAAGATTGCTATTTTAAATTACGTTTCATCATAACGACTAAAATGTTTATTTCTTAAATAAATGTTATTTTTTATCCTAATATACTTAATTATTGTCAGGAATGTATTGCAAGTATCATAAAGTAATTTAAAAATAAATGAAATTTTGACTTTCCACTATGCCGCTATGCTGTGTGACTCTGCAGCTACCATTAAAGTCCAAGGCGTTATCAGTTTGTGCTTCTTTTTATGACCACATTAAACTGTGTTTTTTTTTTATATTGAAACAATTAGTTCAGTGGAAATTCGAAAAATTTACCATAATTCTGAAACTTTCAGATAATAAGCATTTTTTTAACAAAATTTACTGTTTCGGGCGAAACAATTCAATTCGTTTTTGTTGTTTTTGTAATTATAACGTAAAACTGAACTTCAGGCGGGTTGAGGTCCGGGGAAAAAGCTAGTGTTGTTTTAACATTTCTTTAATTAATATTTTATCCTTTTTTGGGGAAGTTGATTATAGTTATACAAAGAAATTTTCATTTTTCTTTTTTTTACACTCGTGCAATAGTATATAACTTATTAATTTTTCAGAATTCAGTCATACCAAGCGTACATATAAAATGCGTACAAATATTTAAACAAAACTAGAACTACGCCACTGATACAAATTACCAAACGCATTAATCTTCTTCCAATGAATAATTATTTTGAGTAGCACTCAGAATTTGTGAAAAGTTTGAAAATTTACTCTTCATTCACATTGATTTTAGAAAATCCCAAAAGAGTGCAAAAATTGAAATAATATCATGACAACACCAACAACAGCCATTTGGTCTAAGTCATAGCAAATCAATGAAACTTTTCGCAAGTGCACAAAATGTGAAAACGGAAACCAAAATCAACGAAAGATAGAAAAAATAAATAAAAATAAACGATATGCAGTACAAAAATAGAAATAGTGAAATGAAAACGAAAACGGAATTTCCGCGCTATTTGGACGTGACAGTGATGTGCCGATGCTACGAAATAAAACGGAAAAGTTTCACACTGAAAAAAACATATGCTAAGGAAAACAGTGAAAAGCAAATAAGCCAAAAAGCAATAATAAAATCGAACTAAACCAAAATAAGAAAACGAAAATAATAAAGCCTAAGAAAAAAATAAAAAACAAAACAAAACAAAAAAAAGCAGCACAGATAATCACAAAGCATCTGCATCACAAAATAGCAGTGTAACAAAAAAATCCACAAACAATAGCAAAAAAGAACTGAGCAACCGCTGTGCGCCCATTCAAAATAGTGACCTCGAAAGCTGCCATTGACGCAAAGCATCACAAGCCGGCAGCACTACGAATACCAAGTACACTGAAGTGACTGAAGGCTTTCACACCAACACCACCAGCAGAACTGTGCCGCGCGACGCGTGCCCCAAAATGTATTTCCGACGTTGTTGGCATTGGCGCTGTTATTCTAGCTATGCTGCGGTTTGGCTATTTTTGCTGACATTTCTCAGTATGCAGCAGCATCGCCTACATGGTGATGGCTGCTCGGGGGCAACACTGTACGCTGCACAACAACAAAACATTCAAATATTCCAAAATCGTACGCCACAAAGGCAGCTGCAAGCGGGCAATGATTGCAGTGTGGAACAGCAACAGCCGGTGGAAAGTGATGCAATAAAAAAAGCTATTACAAGTTGTACAGTGACAGTGATGACTACTACCCAGCGGCAAGTGGTGGGCGATGTGGTGACAGAAAGTGCAGCCGGAATGCCTACACAATCAGACAAGCAGCAGGAAATGCCAGCCGCCCCGCCGACGTCGACGGAAGCTGACAGCGAAAGTGTTGGACGCCTGGCGGCAGAGGATAACAGCGAAGTGCCAATCAGTAAGCCCAGCGCGGATATCAATGGGTCACATTCGAAATATTCGTACACGAACGTCACTGGAGCACTGGAGACAGGAAGCATTGAGCAAAGTAAAGATAATGCTACTAAAAGCTTCACCAACACAGTCAAAGCAAGAACGAGTAGAATGCGAAGAATGCGAAAAGTAGCGGCGCTGAAAATGGAATTGACCACAGCGACGACCCCAATTCCGTTTGCTAACGCTTCCATTACCACGGCAACGGTTAGCCTTGGCGGCAAGCAGTTGAATGCGAAAAATTTAAAACACTCCAAGAATCTCATCAACTCCGAGCATTTGGCGTACGATTTTAAAGCGAATGTAGCAAAATTATTTGCAAATGATGCAGCTGTTGAATCGGCAGCTAAAAACAGTAGCAATGAGGGTTTCGAAACTAATATTCGTAGTAGTGAAATGCTGGGCAAAATAGAGCGTGAAGTCGGCCGCAGCAGTGGCAGTAGTAACAACGAAAGCAATGGCCTAAATAACAACAAGCAAACTCTGAACAATGTAGGCAACAACAACAATAGCAACAGAAAGAATACTAATAACAACCACATTGAAATTAATTACAATGGCAACAAACTCAATCCTGTCGAGCAGTCGCTTCCTTCGAGTACCGGCATTGCCGAGAGTGCTGAGGCTGCTGTTATGGCTGCTACTGTTGAGGTTGCCTTAAGTTCTAATTTTGCTGATGACACTTCAGTTCAACTAGCAGCTGTGGGAGCCAGTAATACTAGCAATAATAATAACAATAATGGCAACAAGCACAACAACAACAACAACACTCGTAATAAATACAATAAAGTGTTGCACACAAATGAGCGGCGTCACATTGTGCCCGAGAAACTACAATACACCAAAGAGATAAACATCAAACAGGGACGCCTAATGGGCATCACTCGTAATTTTCATTCGTCGACAGGTTTACGTGACGTTGATCAATATCTGGGCTTGCCATATGCGGAGGCGCCGGTAGGAAGTCGTCGCTTTATGCCACCAGGTGAGTGAAAATTTACAAAACAAAAAAAAACATCTATGCAAATAAGTATTTGCCATTTCAAGTATAAATAAGATAAGGGTTGTTCAACAATGATGTTCGGTATTTCTGTTACTAAATTAAAACAGGTTCTATTATAATGAAAATACTAAGAGAAAAAGCGACTTTTTTCATGTAAAACCTCTACGGTTTCGGTAGAGAAGATTTTGACTATAAGCACGTAATCCACTTGGAACTTTAAGTTTTGAATTTTTTTATATACATTTGGCATTTTACGATATTTTTACTTATCCTAGTACACCCTCAATTGTGGTTTTCCTTAGTTGTCTAAGCAAAAAAAAGATAAGGTAAGAACAAGAGATACTACGACGTGAAAGGTATTTTGCATCTTTAAAGATTAACCCTAACCCAGACTATTCCCAAGACACCCTCGGGATCCCTAATACATCCTAAACCCGATTATCAACAGGTTCCTTATTTTTAAGGGTTTAAAATTTGGAGCTTTGAAATTAATCAATCTTTGTGTAGCCTCGTTCTTAACGCAGAGCCGGCAATACGAACTTTTGATAACACCTATTCAGTGCAGATGCAATCATAGTTGGTTGTGACCCAGTTAGGTACCCGGAGAATAGCCTGATGCCTTTTCTGTTTAGTTGAACAATATAATATCTGATCTATTGGAAGGGTAACGAAAGAGCTTAGCCTATCTAAGACTCACTCAGTTATTATGGTTCTCGGAGAGGACCAACTAAGACCACCAGACTGATACTGATACCTTTTCTAGGTTTAATTTTGCGCATTTTAGAATTGCAAAAACTTTAGCCTAGAACACTATGGGCCACCTGCCCAAGGAAATTGGTAGTCTGCTGCCGTGTCCATACACACCTGCACCTGATCTGTCACGTATCCTCGCACTGTACGTTTAACAAATTACGTTCGCCCAATTTTTGCGATTTGGGATTTTCCCTTGGGACTTTCGGCCAAGTCATCTCGCTTTGGTTATGGAGTCAAAGTTTCCGCAAATTTCAAAGAAAAAAAAAATTGTGAGGCTTCTTTGCATGGAAGCAGTCGTTGCATAGTCGAAATTGCAGCTCCCTCGTGGCTGATGTTTCTTGAACAAAAATATGGACAGGATTTTATCCTAGGAGCGACTCTGGAGCTGGAGTTGAGGAGTTTATTAACGATTTACTGTCAGGAGGCGAGTTATTATTTGCAATTGTAAACGAATCGCTCCACTGTGGATAACGACTATAAATGAATCACC